CTGTTCTTCCTAGAGATCCAGTAAGGATCATCTCTTATTGATCCAGTGTTACTACAGGAGGCAACCTAAACTAAACTAACTTTATTTATACTGGATAGTTCTATCAGTTCCAAACTGTTCTTCCTAGAGGTCCAGTAAGGATCATCTCTTATTGATTCATTGTCACTACAGGCGGCAACCTAAACTAAACTAACTTTATTTATCCTGGATAGTTCTATCAGTTCCAAACTGTTCTTCCTAGAGATCCAGTAAGGATCATCTCTTATTGATCCAGTGTTACTACAGGAGGCAACCTAAACTAAACTAACTTTATTTATACTGGATAGTTCTATCAGTTCCAAACTGTTCTTCCTAGAGGTCCAGTAAGGATCATCTCTTATTGATTCATTGTCACTACAGGCGGCAACCTAAACTAAACTAACTTTATTTATCCTGGATAGTTCTATCAGTTCCAAACTGTTCTTCCTAGAGATCCAGTAAGGATCATCTCTTATTGATCCAGTGTTACTACAGGAGGCAACCTAAACTAAACTAACTTTATTTATACTGGATAGTTCTATCAGTTCCAAACTGTTCTTCCTAGAGGTCCAGTAAGGATCATCTCTTATTGATTCATTGTCACTACAGGCGGCAACCTAAACTAAACTAACTTTATTTATCCTGGATAGTTCTATCAGTTCCAAACTGTTCTTCCTAGAGATCCAGTAAGGATCATCTCTTATTGATCCAGTGTTACTACAGGAGGCAACCTAAACTAAACTAACTTTATTTATACTGGATAGCTCTATCAGTTCCAAACTGTTCCTCCTAGAGGTCCAGTAAGGATCATCTCTTATTGATTCAGTGTCACTACAGGAGGCACTATAAACTAAACTAACTTTATTTATACTGGATAGTTCTTTCAGTTCCAAACTGTTCTTCCTAGAGGTTAAATAAGAGCCGTCTCTTATAACATCACTTGCGCAAATTAACCACATATCAAATATTAACATTTTCAAACTTTGTCAACAGCTTGAAATGTCTGAGTATGTGTATGTCCTTATAAACAGAGACACGACTGGAATTTCTGTCTTTTAAATCGGGATTAAAATGGATTAAAACAACACAACACTATGTGTTCTAGAACTATTCCAGGTCCTTATAGGAACACCTCGCCCCTTCTTTGGCCGGAAATGGTGGCCGGCTATGACGTCATTCCATTTCCGCTAGAGGCATGGAAATCTGCCTCTTGTAAAACGCAATGGAATACAATCAATTGAAGCTACAATTCGACTTGTTTGAACCTTTTTAGAAGAAGCGTGGACAAACGAAAAAAAACCGTCGTCGCAGCTCATCGAAAAAGCGCAGTTTGGAAAACCAGATCACAGACAGAAAGGTAGGGTCAACACTTTCACACAACAGGGGAGGGGTGGTTGCGTGCGCTCCACATTCCTAGTACCAATTAATCGACATCCGTATTGACTTAACCACCCCTCCCTCGTTCCGAGTGTCAATCAGGTCAGCTGCCGCAAATATTTTCGTGCGCACTTGATCGAAAATGTTATAAAACGCGCAATTTAATCTTATTAACACTCATTCGGTGAGATCGTAGCAAGAAAGAGGTCTCAAAGGCTGGTCAACAGTCTTTTGACCAAGACAGAAATCATGGATGAAGCGGTAGGTTTTAAAATGTTATGACATTTCGTATCCGGCCATCGCAGTACGACAGTTTTGAATATTTAATGTTTTTGAATCGTTTTGCATGCATGTGTAGGACTAATTTGCATTTCCAAGTAGCAGTTGCTCGTACGCGATTATCTGCCAGGCGTATCGGTTCATTGCGAACTGGTTCTCTGGATAAACGTTAGCTGAATCTAACGCAAGGTCGCCAACTGTGCAACGAGAAACGAGAAGCAGTTATTGGGCAAGCTTCTGCCGCTTGTGGCTAGGTAAATTGCTAGTTTACATGCGTGTATAGGACTATTTCCGATTACTACGAATATTATCGCAGGGGTGGAGCGTATATAGCATACCACATAAATAGCTTTACCGTTAAACGTACGGCCGTAAATCTTTGGTGAAAGTAGTCGTATTTCGTAGCCTAATATTTCTCATTTTGTGTCAAACAGGACAGGATGCCCGATCACGACCCGACGTCGGCTGACGCGGAATGGAAGAAGATACAACAACGAACATTCACTCGCTGGTGCAACGAGCATTTAAAAGTTGCAAATATTGTCATATACGATCTTGAAACCGATCTTTGCGATGGCATCAAACTTATCGTCCTGCTCGAGGTACTGGCTCACAAACGAGTCGGAAAGTACAACAAGAAACCGAACTTTAAGTCACAGAAGTTGGAAAATGTCGCCATTGCACTCAAGTTTATCGAGAACGAGAATATCAAACTGGTTAATATCGGTAAGTGAGTGATTATTTTTGTACATTACATTATATCTCAAAGGTGCTTAACGTTAATTACATGTTAACTAGCTAGCTGGTTTTTTGGTTGTGTACAATATAACACACGTTCTAACAGATCTAATATGCTATATCTTTAATTGATATCTGATATTAATGCTTAGCACACATATTTGTCTGTTGAGACTTTTGATCAATAATGTCGATCGAATCCGACATAACTTTTGCTCATGTTAATTCGCACAAAATTTTAACTTTCATGTTAATGCTTCGTGGCTTTCTGAGGTGTTTGGGAAACATAATTTTGGAACAGAACGAAAATTTGAGACGAACCCCCATTGGCAATGACAGACAGAAAGTAAGATCACACCAATTGAACTTGGCGATTAAAATCTAGAATCAACCATTCTGTGCAAAAATCCGTCTGTTCGGGAAGCGAAATCTCGCTGAATTTTAGCCATAATTTGGACACAAGTATGCTTTAAATGTGGCTTATATTTGTGGCATTTGATGGTCTAATTATCGTTAAAAAACGTCCTTGTCGGTGAACGAGAAATCAGATTCAAATTATGTTTTGTTCGTGGGCGTAGCTTTGGCCATCGTCTAATGCAACAACATGAGATTCTGCATGCCCTTCCTGCTGACAACAACGTCGGAAATTCACACTTATTATGCCAAGGTCTAACCATGTATTATATTCCGATATACTTATTAATTTCTCGGCCAAACATTTGGAGATTTTCGTGCACCATCGCTCTAAACGCGCTGAAATATTCACGAATGTAATTTGTAACAAGTTCAACTAATTCCAGACACGTGTAATGTTTGCGTTCGACTGTCTTCGTAGTTTTATGATTTTATCCCAAGATCGGCGCCCATATTATATTATATAATACTTTCCCAATTAAATTCTTGAGGTATTGACAAGTTGGTATTGTGAGTGCTTAGCAAAACTATGCGAGGTATAGCAAATAGTTCAAATGATATCGGGCAGTCGTTGATTTGAAATTGACATTTTTGTACATAATTTAAAAAGTCCGTTTGGAATGCGGATTTTGTTCCAATTAACGGCCATTTTAAGAGTGTCGTGGAAGCTATTTTGCTTTCATATAGCATATAAAGCTATTTTGATTTATTCTAGACCAGGAAACTCGGCAGTATTGATGGTTTATAATGTGGCCGACTTCATAGATCAGATTTGCTCGAATCCGAATAATCAATGAGCTTCCCCCGTGGGTGGTTTTTTTTTTTGCAAATTATTTCTTGCTAGAAAGCTCTATTTTTCATTGAATGTTCTGTCAATTAAAAGGCGGCCTGTTTAAAGGAAATGCTCGTAAATTTTCAAGACGAGCATATATAGAAACACGCTGGCAGCCATTAGCTGTTTAAAATAGTTTATTTTTAATGACGAAATTATACAAAGACCCTTCAGACTTCCCTTAAAAGGTAATGTTGACATGCCCTGAGAAATGTCAACTATTTAAAGTCTGGCGTCTCGACTCGTTTATTTTCGGCCACATGTTTAATTGTTTTAAGACATTTACAGAGTTCGAAATTTAGCCATTTTTAGAGTATATTCGTGCAGTTTCAATCTTGAAGATTCTGAGCAATTTAGCGAACAATTAAGCAGGATTTTTACTTCATTTAAATTTTCCTTCACAGCAAATTGTTCGCCAGAAGTAGAATTATGGCGGTCGTTTCCTGCACTTGTCAGATGACAAAGTACATTCGTACGGCCGAAATTTCTGGACAAATTAAAGGCAGATAAACGGTCACAACAATGCAAATCGTAGACACTGACGATATTGAAAATTGTCCCATTTCCGATGTAATTGCAATAAACAGTCTGCTTATTTCAAAGCATTTTTGTTTCACAATTGACTAGGCAAATTGTTGGGCTCGAAGTTCATTCTCTCACGGCAACCAAATTTAATATCTGATATGTTCTTACTCTCTGGTTTTAAAATAAATGCAAATCCCGCTAACAAAAACATGCAATTATGAAATTGCCTTGCTATTACTCTATTAGTATTTATAGGCGTTGGAATCCGTTAATTAGGCGTACGACCTCTGTCTTTTCGTTAAAAACCCAGCTTTGTTACTATAGTTTTTCTTTGTCATATAAGCTATTCAATTTTTGTAAGAAAGTTTGATGAAAGTTCTTTAACTACAACTGTCAAATAATTATTTTACCATACTCGTGGAATGTGTAAACAGTTTAACATATTGTTTGTATATATTATCAAATTTCTGTATTGTTCTTGATATTAATTTGATATCAAATCAATTCGGCTCGAATTACTGTTGACATTTATGTATATTTGTTGCTTGAAATTCTGTACATAAATACTGTAGGAGTGTAGGGTATATATTACAGAGGTAATTTTACTTTCGTTTTGCAACAAAATTTATAAAGATTAAAGGACGTCTAGTGCGTTAACTCATTTCATATTTAAATGAGGGAACCTTTAAGCTTTAACTAAGTTAACTTTATTTGTACTGGATAGCTCTATCAGTTATAAACTGTTCTCCCTAGAGATCCAGTAAGAGTCATCTCTTGTTGATCCATTGTTACTAAAGAAGGAAACCAAAACTAAACTAACTATATTTTTCCTGATAGCTCTATCTGTTCTATTAAAACTGTTCTTCCTAGAGATCCAGTAAGGATCATCTCTTATTGATCCAGACTAAATTAACTTTATTTATACTGGAATAGCTCTATCAGTTCTAAACTGTTCTCCATATAAATTCAGTAAGGGTAATTCCTTGTTGATCCAGTGTTACTGCAAGAGGACACCTAATCTAAACTAACGTTATTTATACTACTGGATAGTTCGTTCACAAGGGTGTAGTGGACTGGAACACAGGTTAGTTCTATCAGTTCGAAACTGTTCTGGTTTTCTTCATTATTGATAAGTGTCATTCCTTATTGATCCTGTAATACTATTGGAAGCAACTCTTTTTAAATTATTGAAGAAGAGTTCCTCAATCAATGAGTTTGACACCAGCTTACTGTAATCTTGTTGACACATGCAACAGGTGATGCAACATGTTAATTTTTGTCACTCCTGTAGTAATACTGGATCAGTAAGAGATGATCCTTACTGAATCTCTGAATGAGATCCTTACTGAACCTCTGGGGTGAACAGTTCAGAACTGATAGGGCTATCTATATCCAGAAAAATAAAGTTAGTTTAGTTGAGGTTTCCTCCTGCAGTAACACTGGATCAATAAGAGATGATCCTTATGCACCAGTCAAAGTAACCCCTCCCCGGGCAAAGAGAGGACTTGGTGGGGATTTAGTGGCTTTTTGTCATCGAAGTCTGTCCCAACCATGTCGGGAATTTGTTGGTTTTGTCATTCTGCCGAATTATGCCGGGAGATAATGGGGATTGTTAGGGGATTGTCTGCGACCATTTTGTACTATTTTGTACCGTTTTGTCCAATGGAATCCCCAGGTTCTACCATTTTATACCATGTGACAAAGGACAAAATGGCATGCTCTCTGGGCGTGCTCGTAAGGAAATGAAATCGAGAGGAATTTTATAAATATATTATTAATTTCATTTCAATCTATATGTTAATACCTGTTAATATGTCCATCCATCCATGGAATCTATTGTTGTGGAAAGCCCGACATTTGTTTGTTTATATTAATATGTTTTTATCGTTCTTTTGAGTATTGGAACAAAATATTAATATTTTAAAATGTGGACGGTTTATGCGGCGACCCGGAGATTGTCGAGGAGATATTATGCAGGAGATAAATTCACTCACACGACTTACAATTTCTCCCCAGGGGGTGGGGCATTTTTTGTCTTTTGCTAGAAAATTTTGTCCCATATATTGTGGGGCATTTGTCTGTTTTGGTACGGTATTCAAAACCAATCCCCACCTATATCCCGGGGTGAGGGGGGTCGGGGTTTACTTTGACTGGTGCATTACTGGACCTTTGGGAAGAACAGTTTAGAAGTGATAGAGCTATCCAGTATATGATGAGTATAAATAAAGTTAGTTAAGTTTAGCTTTCCTCCTGCAGTAACTCTGGATCAATAAGAGATGACTCTGACTGGACCTCTGGAGAGAACAGTTTAGAACTGATATGGCTATCTATATCCAGTATAAGTAAAGTTAGTTTAGATTTCCTCCTGTAGTAACATTGGATTAATAAGTGACGATCCTTACTGGATCTCTATGGAAACCAGTTTCGGACTGATAGGGCTACCAATAAGGCTAGTTAGCAAATTTAGTTAAGTAGTTCATCAAAATGCAGAGATCAAAATGTAAACCGGCTCAAAGAATAGACAAAGAATGGTGCACCTGTTACTAATAATTCGTCTATATGAAAACGCATCGACAATAATTTATATGCAAAGTTTGTCCAGACGACATATCATCACTCGCGCCAATACTGTAAATACCCAAACAATATTAAAAGCAGCATGCTAACAAAAACATTCTGCATGAATTAAAATGGGGTTCACTTATGAAAACAAAACAATTCTGTAGTACGGTAGTCAATGCGCATATGCCATCAGTTTAGATTTTAAATTTTACGAACGTGCATATTAATAAGCTTTCGTAATAGCTTGTTGTGGCATATTTTGCGGGCTATATAATAATGAATAAATTAGCAGCTAAAATACAATTTTAAAGTGTTTACGTTTCTGCCGGCGTTTGTTTTAAGCAAAATATGTTTGCATGAGCTGGCTTTGGGCACGTTTTTATTATTTTTGAACGACAGCATGACTTTAAAATTAAAAAAGAGAAGATATATCTCTTTTGGAAAAATAAATGAGCTAGAATCCATTCTCGAAAACATGGAAAAACAATTCCTGTTGTGTCAGAAACTATTGGTATTTTAACAGTGCCAAAGTGAATGTAAGTTTATCTATATAGTTTGTTTATCTTTTACAAACGATATTAGCTTTGTTTTTATACCCAGCTATAACTTTATTTATTGTGTAAACTATTTTTCATTCTTTTTGTCATGTAAGAACGGTTTAGGTTTTTTCTCCATATATAAACCGAGCTGAATATATAAAACGAATTGGAAAATTAATAGAGCATTATAGGCGAACTATTAGTAAAATATATGGCATGCTATTTTGCAAAACCTGTTCCCAGAAATATTGCCTTTGTTGATATTTAACAAATATAAAACATTTTCCGTGTTGATTGGAAATTGGGAAAACGAGAAATTGTTTGGAAACACGACGCCTGAACATTGAACTATAAGTAAAAATAAGAACTATAAGTTTATTTATAGTTCAATGGGCCTGAAGGGCGGAGTGTTTTCACACATATTCGAGTTTTCCCAATTTCCACGAGTGTTGATATAACTTTATATCAATACGGAAAAAATGTTTTATATTTGTTTTATAATATAGCACAAAGAAATATAAAGAAAGAAATTTTCCGACGTTTCCGTGTTGACATTGAGTTATATCAACACGGCTCTTAGCCAATCAACGTTCAGAATTTACAAATGGTATATTATAATATATAATAATATATAATAATGAATGAACCGTTGGTCAGACGAACATGATGTATGTTTACAGATATAATCCACCGGCTATAATCTTCAAGATCGGTCCAGTAAATATTGACATGCTTCATGGATCATGTGACATGTCACTCGTTGAAATGTTTCCTGAAATTGACTGACAATATTCTGAGATTTTATCGTACAGTCGGGCGAAGACTATATTAGGCCTGTTTCATACGTCGCACCATCGTCGAATTTGATTTAGGCGAATTTAATTGAATTAATTAATAGTGCATCGTATGAAACGAATTAAATTCGTCTGATCACTGATGAATTAAATTCGTCCAAGACGTTTTAAAAAAATCCGTCATGGTCAGACGGATACAACGCGTCTGTAGCGCGTCTTCCTTTCATACGACGTCGATAAGACGATATGTCGTGTCGAATTAAATGCATCATTAAAGAGATAATCTAATTGGCGCGGCATGCGAGTAGCGAGTCAATAGCGCGAGGCGCGTGTTCTGACATTTTTGAGGGTTACCGATCCAGTAAATTCGAGCAAGGGAAAAATGAAATTTTTAACCCGAGTAAATTGCTGTAAAGATTGGCCAAATCTAGTGGAAATTGGATTTCGTTCGATCTACTGTATTCTGTTTGTTGTCCGTTGTTTAATAATGAAAGTGTTTTAGAGATGCTAGGTGTCTGGTCCAAGGGGCTAACGTTTCCCAAACAGGCACACAAATGTGAGGTTTAATTATTAACTCATTTGAATACACCCAGCACTTTAACCTTTGGCTCTGACGTGTAAAATCGTCAAGCAATTGAGTGGTCTGGTCCAAGGCCAACGGGCTACCGTTTTCCAAACACGCACAGAAATTTGATTAATTAATTTGATTAATTTGACTAGTTTAATTAACTCATGAATTTGCACGCACCTACCACTTTACTCTTTGAGGTGTAAAATCGTCAAGCAATTTGATCACGAAAAGTAGCGGACAATTTCTAACCAATTATTGACTAAGGCTTATTGACTAGTAGCCTGGTTAACCAATTAGCAACCATCGCTTTATTTTCGACGAGAAAAGTCGTAAAGCGTTCATAAACAGAGTAAAATACGGCACATTCATTGCGACATTCAGCAATGTTTAAAAGTCAAGTGGAAAGTGCTTAGTTCAATGTTGCCATAGCGCTTCGTTTCCGTGATTGAGAATTGGCATTCGAACTCTTTATTCTTTTACAAATGAGAGTGGCATAAGTATAAACTCTGGATGACATTATTATAAACAACTCTTTCATTGCCATTGTTGTATGTGTATATGCTTTTGTAAATGTGCCATGCACTTGTAGAAGATAAAGAGCTCTGAATCACGAATAAAGGAACACCGAATGGTTTTCCGTGGCAAGATAGGCGGATAGCGTCATTCTCCAGCAGGCGAATTTGTTTGCGCGAACAGTAGAAACGTTACCATGCTAGCAGAAGGGAAAAGACAAAAAAATAGGAACTGATGCAACTTTTTCTGATCTAACTTTGAATTTGACAGATCCAACTTTGAATTTTTTCGCTGACCAATCACATTGCCAAGATTTGTTTTTCGCTTCGCTTCGCGCGAACAAATTCGCCTAGTGCAAAATGGGCTTTAAAAAGTCGTATACTAGTGGGGTGTTTTCTCGCTGTTCGGCAGTGATTGGAACAATTTTACAATGTTACAGGTAAACTACGTGAAGCGTTCCTCTTTTGACTTCGTAACTCATTTGGAATTTTCCTCATTAGCTTTGCAAATTTGAAAAACTCTTTGCAAATCCCTTGAGGGAATTTGCAATGTTCCTATCGGCTGTTGCAATATTCCAAACTTCATTTTAATTTTTCCTAACTTCCTGTTTTAATTTCCTAACTTCCTGTTCTGTTCTGAGCGTTGTTTTTGGTCGATTATTTTTGTTAGCCAATTGCAACGCCCAGAACAGAAAAGGAAGTTAGGAACTTGTAACAGGAAGTTAAGAACTTCTAACAGGAACTGAGGAAAATTTTATTTGCTTTTAGCAACATTGCAAATTCTTTCAAGGGATTTGCAAGGGAGTTTTTTAAATTGCAAAAGTAATGAGGAAAATTGCAATCAATTTAGAAACTCAAAAGAGGAACGCTTCACGTAGTTTACCTGTAATCGTTGTATGACGGTAAAGATTGCATTTTATATAAAACAATATGACAGCTTGTCAAGTATTTAGGAAGCCTTTCTTTTCGACGTTTTCCCATTTCGTTAGTATCCTTGGCAACGTTTCTTAGAGGAATTTCAGATTCAATTTTGTGCTAAATTTCAGTTCGTATATGAATAACGCAGACGTTCAACGTGTGCACACCTAAAAACGCACAAGTTGTAACGAACCTGCAGCAGACTTGTAGCAATGCTGTTCCAACAACTTGTCAACAGGATGTGTTCGCACTGCTTGTTCTCAGCTTGTCGACAAGTTGCCAACGGCTTGTTTGACAACTTGCTACAAGGTTGTTGAGCGCAACAGACTTGTTACAGGTTGTTCCAACAACTTGTTATCGTCCTGCAATTCAACGATTTGTCAACAAGTTGTGAGTGACAACCTTGTAGCAACTTGATAAAATAACAGCATTGCTACAATTTGTTCACAAGCTTGCTACTATAGTCTGTTGCGAACACATCTTGACAAGTTGTGATATTTTTACGTGTGTACTCGCAGCTTTATGATATTATCAGACCTCTTGCAAGGTTGTTCCAACAAGTCTGATACAGTCATGATATAACAATATTGTTACAACCTTGTGTCGTCAACTTTGTGACATTCTTGTTATATCATGACTGTATCAGGCTTGTTAGAACAACCTCGAAACAAGCCTGATAATGCCATAAAGCTTGTTGCAAGTTGTTAAACAGATTGTTCCAAAACTTGTTACAACAACTGGGAACAAGCAGTGCGAACTTAACTTGTCGACAGCTTGTGAACAGAAGTTGTGACAGACTTGTAGCAACTTGTAAAGGCTGATTTCCACTGTTGCATTTTTCATACGTACGTATACGCACGTAAAACTTTAAATCCGTTTAAATGTTACTTATGAAATAACCAAATAAATAAAGCAACAGAATTTAGTGTTCCGCAAGTTTTAGTATGCATTTATTAAATTATTTGTAAAATATTTAAAAAATAGAAGGATTCAAAGTTTTACGTGCGTGTACGTGCGTAGAAAAAACGCGACAGTGGAAATCAGCCTTAGAAGTGGGATAAATTTTTGACTTCAACGTTTCTATCTTTACAGATGCTGGTGATATCGCGAAAGGAAACCTCAAGTTAATTCTGGGTCTAATATGGACGTTGATCTTGAAATATCAAATATCCATGCCCATGGGCGACTACGAAATCGACGATGACGATGGCAAGGCGGGCAAGAAGAAAGACCGTGGAATGACCCCCAAACAAGCCTTGCTGGCGTGGGTGAAGAGCAAGATGCCGCCGGAAATCCCAATGAATAATTTCACCACGGATTGGAACGACGGCCGGGCCATTGCGGCTTTGGTCGATGCGGTAGAACCAGGACTCTTCCCTGACGTAGATCCCGAAGATTTGGATCCCAATGACGCCGTGAACAATGCCAAGAAAGCGATCGAGACTGCTGAGAAGTACCTTGGAGTTCCACCTGTAAGTTAGAGCTGATTCTTCACTGGAAAATTTGATCCATTTGGCTTTCTAAGTTTTCTAGAAAATGTCCACGCTTTTTCTAGAATATTTTCTTACTTTAGAAGCGTGCAAAACTTCGGAAGTTGAATTTTTCCAATGAAACTTTTTTTGGTATACACGTAAAAACGCACAAGTTGTTACAGATTTGCAAACAAGTTGTTACAAGTCTGTTCAGAAGCTGTCAACAACACACATACAAATCTCACAGCTTATCAACAAGATGTGTTCGCAACAGGCTTGTAGCAAACTTGTCGACCAGTTGTAAACAATGCTGTTATTGTATCAAGTTGTTACAAGGTTGTCACTCACAACTTGTTGAAAAATTGGTGAGCAGCAGGACGATAACAAGTTGGTGGAACAACTTGTAGCAAGTCTGTTGAGCTCAACAACCTTGTAGCATGTTGTCAACAAGCCGTTGACAACTTGTCGACAAGCTGGGAACAAGCAGTGCGAACACATCTTGTTGACAAGTTGTTGGAACAGCATTGCTTCAAGTCTGCTGCAGGTTTGTTACAACTTGTGCGTTTTTACGTGTGTAACTTTGTTCGTACCGCTTGTTCCCAGTTATTGTAACAAAGTTTGGAACAAGTTGTTAACAACTTGTAACAAGCTTGGTGGCATTATTAGACTTGTTACAAGGTTGTTCTAACAAGTCTGATACAGTCATGACATAACACGAATGTTACAAGTTTGACGACACAAGGTTGTAACAATATTGTTATATCATGACTGTATCGGACCTGTTAGAACAACCTTGCTACAAGTCTGATATAATATCAACAAGCTTGTTACGACTGTTAACAAGTTGTTCCAAACTTGTTGACAACTTGGGACAAGCAGTGCGAACACAACTTGTTGAGGGCTTGTTGGCAGACTAGCTACAAGATGTGAGATTACAACCTTATGTCATCAAACCTTGTAACATTCTTGTTATATCATGATTGTATCAGACTTGTTAGAACAACCTTAAGACAAAATCATGCCATCAAAATTGTTACAAGTTGTCAACAGTTCCAAACTTGTTGCAACAACTGGGAACAAGCAGTGCGAACACAACTTATCGACAGCTTGTGAACACACCTGTAACAACTTGTGCGTTTTTGCGTGTGTACAGATTGTCCTATCATACGGCAGGACTAACAAAATATTTGTTTTAATCTCCCTAGGTCCTCGATGCTGCAGATATGTGCAATCCTAAGGTGGACGAAATGAGCGTCATGACTTATGTTTCGTATTTCCCCGAGGCCAAGTGCAAAGCTGGTGCCCCCCACCGACCACAGCTCCCCGCAGCAGCCAAATGCTCAGCGGAGGGACCAGGCGTCACCCCTGAAGGCCTTGTTGCTAAGCAACCTGCCCCCTTCACCGTGTTCACCGCGGGCGCAGGCAAAGGAACTCCCCAAGTTAACGTGTTTGGACCTGAACGAAGTAACATCACATGTGAAGTTGTTGATAATGGAGACAAGACATTCTCGTGCTTATACTCGCCACCAGAACAAGGTAAATCATTGTCAATTTAGCAATAACAATAACAATTTGCGTTATTTATGTTTTGTGTGTTAAACCGCGCAGACAATTATTAACTGATATTTTGGAGAGCGACCTCGAGTTTTTGTGCAGTTAACAATCAGCGCTAATTAAGCTAATTTTATGCTATCTTTTCTCAGGTATCTACGATATTCATATCAAATGGAAAGGTCGTCATATCCCTAAAAGTCCCTTCCGCGTCAAAGTGTCCTCAGATCTGGACTCGAGCAAATGTTACGCTGAGGGACCTGGCCTTCAATCTGGTATTATTGAACATCAATGGACCAATTTCACCGTGTTCACCAAAGGTGCGTGCTCATGTTGTGTTTTTCATGTTGGAGTTCTAATCTTGGTTGTCCAAATGGAACCCTATTGAGAGGCGATTTGTGAATGAAGTGTTCAAAATCTAAAATCTTTTTGGTGTTCCTCTCAAAATTACTTTGTTTTAGCTTTATTTTGTAGTTTACACAATTAGCAACTTTTTAAATGTATCTGGCGGCTGAGAAACACAAAGTAATAGTTAAATATTGTCAATTTTAATACAATTATTATTGATGCTGTAAAAATGACGCCATATTTATAACAACAATATGGGCAAAACTTACTGAACTTCAGACATCGTTTTCTCTTTGGCGTACCATCTAAAATTTCATCATTTTAATCTTAGCTATTTTACTGATATAAAGCACTAAACATAAATTTTAAGTGTGTCTTTAAGTTTAAGTGGAAAAGTATATTCACTTAGTTTTGAGCGCGTGTTACACGTAACATACAAAAGATTCTCCTCTTAATAGAACTGCCGTCTAAATGAAAAATATTAACAAAACATTTCTGATAATGCCTCATCTCAGAATCACTGAAGATCTGCGGTTTAATTAATTAACTAGCCAGCTTCGATATAGGAGAACAATTTGTCAACAAGTTGTAGTGAATTGATAAGATAACAGCATTGTTCCAACTTGTTGACAAGCTCGCATCAGTTGCGACATTTTTAGGTGTGTATCAGACATTTAAGGAGAGCCATGTTTTTCAGGTGCTGGCGAAGGAAAACTTCATGTTGATATCATCGATCCTCATCTGAGCAAAGTTGAGATGAAAATTGAGGAGAAAGGCGAAGGGGAATACTATGTACTGTACAAACCAATGCTTTATGGCAAGCATACAATTAACATCAAATTTGGTGGACTGCATATCAATAAAAGTCCGTTCCATGTTAACGTTGTATCGTCGAAGAAGGAAGCTATAGCTACTAAAGTTAAAGCGTATGGACCAGGTGAGAGGGATTTAGAGTTGAATTACTGTTGGTTTTATATAGGTCTAGGGTAAGATCTCACATCTTGTAGCCTGCGCGCAGACTATATAATGTAATATGTCATTATATAGTCTGCGCGCAGGCTAACATCTTGTAGCAAGCCGTAGATTACTACCTACACTGGACCACCACATCCGAGGTATATATTTTCAGGTCGTTCATGCAGACTGAGAAGCACGACAGCTTATTGTAAAATACTACCTACAATGGACCACCACGTTTGAGATATCTTTTTCAGGTAGTTAGACACAAACCACGGCAGCTTATTGCAGAATACTACCTACACTGGACCACCACGTTTGAGATATCTTTTTCAGGTAGTTCAGACACAAACCACGACAGCTTATTGTAGAATACTACCTACACTGGACCACCACATTTCAGATATCTTTTTCAGGTAGTTCAAACGCAAACCACGACAACTTATTGTACAATACGTATACTACCTTCACTGGACCACCACGATTGAGATATATTTTTCAGGTAGTTCAGACACAAACCACGGCAGCTTTTTGTAGAACATTACCTACACTGGACCACCACTTTAGAGATATCTTTTTCAGATAGTTCAGACACAAACCACGACAGGTAGGGTAGACCAAAGCCCTACTGTGCTGTCAATGTACTGAAAATTCCTTATCACCAACCCTAGGTCTGGAACCGAAAGGTATAGTCGCAACAACCGAAGCAGTTTTCACCGTGGATGGTAAAGAAGCTGGAGATGGTGAATTGAAAGTTGTCATCAAGGCCCCTAAAGGAGAAATACCATGTGATATTAAAGACAATGGCGATGGTACCTACACGTGCACTTACAAAGCAGTTGTTGCTGGTAGACATACCATCAGCATCACCTGGAGTGGGAAAGCGATACCAAAAAGTCCTTACAGAATTGAAGTGTCACCTTATGTTGATATCACCAAGATTAAAGCTTATGGACCTGGTCTTGAAAAAGGTTGGACAATAAGACTATTTAGAGTTTCCACTGCGTATCCAAATGACGCTTTCCACGTCGGGACGAATTGCAGTTCAACTATAAATGTAGCTCCGACTCGAAGCATTGAAATGTGCAACAACAGCAACACTGACAACAAGAACAACGGCAACGACAACACCAACGACAAGAACAGCAACAACGACAAGAACAGCAACAACGACAAGAACAGCAACAACAACAACAACAACAACAACAACGACAACAGCAATCACAACTGACAGCAATCACAACGACGACGACAACGAGACCACAACGAGACCACAACAATAACAAACAGCGACAACACTGACAACAACAATACCAACAAACAACAACACCGACAACAACAACAACTACAAGGACAACAATAACGGCAAGTCGGCAACAACACCAACGACAACGACAACAACACCAACGACAACGCCAACAACAACAACAACAACAACAACAACAACAACAACAACAGCACCACCAACGACAATACGACAACAACAACAACAACAACAACAACAACAACAACAACAACAACAACAACAACAACAACAACAACGACAACGCCGACAACAACAACAACGATAACAACAACACCGACAACAACACCGACAACAACACCTACAACAACACCGACAACAACACCGACAACAACACCGACAACGACAACACCGGCAAGAACAACCACAACAAAAACAGTAACACCACCACCACCACCACCAAATTACTGCATGTACATCATGCACGCGTACCTAATACCGTTTTAATAATACCTATATTTTTCAGGTGTTGCAGGTCAGCCGTGTAAATTCACAGTCGAAACGAACGGAGCTGCGGTAGACACCCTGGGATTTGCAGTGGAAGGACCTCACCAGGCCGAAATTAAATGCCGAGACCTAGGCAATGGAAAATGCGAGGTCATTTACTATCCCACCAAACCTGGGGAATATACGGTACATGTGACATGTAATGGTAAGGATATCCCCAAAAGTCCCTTCACAGTACCTATCACCCCTGGAGGAGATGCGAACAAGTGTTATGCCGAGGGACCTGGGTTGGAGCCAGACGGTCTTGTGGCAGGTAAATAGGAACTAAGAGATTTTGTAGACTAAAATAATGCAATCTACAGTTTTGCCTTTGTGGAGATTTACAGCTATAACAAGCTTGATGACATCAGACTGTTACAAAGTTGTTCTAACAATCTAACAAGTCTGATACAGTCATGTGATGATATAACAAGAATGTTACAAGGTTGACGACACAAGGTTGTCACAATATTGTTATATCACGAATGTATCGGACTTGTTGGAACAACCTTGCTACAAGTTTGATAATATCAACAAGGTTGTTGCAAGCTGTTAACAAGTTGTAACAAGCTTTATGGCATTATCAGACTTGTTACAAGGTTGGTCTAACAAGTCTGATACAGTCATGATATAACAATATTGTTACAAGGTTGACGACACCAGGTTGTAACATCACGACTGTATCGGACTTGTTGGAAGCAAATCTGATGGCATTATCAGACTTGTTACAAGGTGGTTGGTCTAACAAGTCTGATACAATAGAAGGTTGTAACAATATTGTTATATCATGACTGCATTGGACTTGCTGGAACAACCTTGCAACAAGTCTGATAATGTCATACTTGTTGACAACTTGGGACAACCAGTGCGAACACAACTTGTTGACGGCTTGTTGGCAGACAGCAACAAGATGTGAGATTTTTCCGTGTGTGTAACTCATTACTCTATTTCTCTTCGTAGGCGTGCCAGCACTGTTCACTGTCTATACAAAGGGTGCAGGAGTTGGCGAAGTCGAGGTCACAGTGAAAGACGACAAGACTGGACGAAGCATCCCAGTTGAGATACTGGACAACAAAGACGGTACCACATCTGTGGTCTATCACCCTGACAAACCCGGCAAATACACGATTACTATCTCTTTCAACGGCAAACCAATACCTAAGAGTCCATTCAAAGTGAACATAAGTCTGAACAATCCCGCCAAATGCAAAGCATTCGGGCCAGGCCTCGAGAAATCGACCGTCGGCCAACCTGCAAAGTTTACCATCGAAACGAAAGATGCGGGTGAAGGGGGACTGGGTCTGACTATTGAGGGACCCACAGAGACTAAGATTGATTGTAAGGATAATGGAGATGGATCCTGTGATGTCACCTATTTTCCCGAAGAACCTGGGGATCATCTCATTAATATTCTTTTCGCTGATAAGCATATTCCTGGCAGTCCGTTCAAAGCTAAAGCCTCGTTCCCAGTTGACGCGTCTAAAGGTAGGTTTATATGGCTTTTTTTCGAATTAAATAATTGTATTCAATCTGGATAGTTCTATCGATCAGTTCCAAACTGTTCTCTCTAGAGGTCGAGAAAAGGATCACCTCTTATTGATCCAGTGTCACTACAAGAGGAAACCTAAACTATACTAACTTTATTTATACTGAATAGCTCTATCAGTTCTAAACTGTTCTCCCTAGAGGTCCAGTAATGATCATCTCTTATTGATCCAGTGTTACTACAGGGAGGAAACGCAAACTAAACTAACTGATGTTCATAACTTTGACACAGAATAACTATTTGTTGTAGTTGTGATTGGTGGTCCGGGGCTGGAACCCGGTGTGAAGGCAGGTTTACCTGCAGATATAGATATCGATGCAACCAAGGCAGGAGACGCACCACTTGAAGTCGAGGTCCTGAACCCACAAAATAAGAAAGTGAAGGTGGAAATTGACGAGGAAGAACCAGGAATATTCGCTGCTACATATTATCCCGAGAAACCAGGTAGGAATACGACAGATGTAGGCGAAAATGCCGTTTAATCATATACACAGTGATGATGATGAGCACAACTTAGTAAAAAAAGTACAGAGTTTGTAAAAAAAAGTGGTCCAACTTTGGCAGCATGTTATCATGCATTATATATTACGTATGTCCATTTAATTTTTCATATCAATACAGACTGATGGCCCTCTCTAAGCTATACAATAATAAATAAATAAATCTACCAAATTTGTACAAATGCGAATGTGTAAGACACATTCACTAAACCGCCCTAAATGATACATTTCATGTTTTCTTTCAATCTTCACAGGCAAGCACACAGTGAATGTCAAATACGGAGGCAAGCATGTTCCTAAAAGTCCCGTTAAGATCGACGTGAAACCGAAAGCTGATGCGAGCAAATGTAAACTGAAAGGGCCTGGATTAGAGTCACCTGTTGTGAAGGAACCAACCAGCTTTGATGTGGACTGTAAACGTGCAGGTAAATAACATGAAGTATTTTCACGTTGTCCGAAAGCCGATTGGGGTTCCTTAACAATTTAAAATAAATGAATGATATTTGGTGAAAAAATTGAACTTTATGTTTATGCAAATTATGCTGATTTTGTACAAACTCCTTCACGCTCATGATTTCTTTTGTGTATTACGAGTTTCGTAAAACGCGTAATAATTCATGAAGAAAATTCAAATGAAATCAATTTTTAATTAGGTGTACAAAATTCTCTTGATTTGTATAAACTTTCTCCTCGATTTTCTCAATTAAAATCTCTTTTTAAAAAATAATTTCTTAAAAACGCAACTGTTGAAATCCTTACGATTCACTTGTAACAAGCTTGATGGCATTATCAGACTTGTGACAAGGTTGTTCTAACAAGTCTGATACAGTCATGATATACAAGAATCTGAAGAATGTTACAAGTTTGATGACACAAGGTTGTAACAATATTATTATTAATATCAATCATGATTGTATCGGACTTGTTGGAACAACCTCGCAACAAGTCTGATAATATCAACAAGCTTGTCACGACCGTTAACAAATTGTAACAAGCTTGTTGATATTATCAGACTTGTAGCAAGGTTGTTCTAACAAGTCTGATACAGTCATGATATAACAAGAATGTTAGAGGGTTGACGACACAAGGTTGTAACAATATTTGTTATATCATGACTGTATCGAACTTGTTGGAACAACCTTGCTACAAGTCTGATAATATCAACAAGCTTGTTACAAGCTGTTTAAACAACTTGTACAATATTGTTTTATCATGACTGTATCGGACTTGTTGGAACAACCTTGCAACAAGTCTGATAACATCAACAAGGTTGTTACAAATTGTTAACAGCTTGTTCCAAACTTGTTGACGGCTTGTTGGCAGACTTGCTACAAGATGTGAGATTTTTGCGTGTCTAAATCAGTCGCTAAGTTAATAATTAACATTCACACAAGTTGAACTTGCAATAATCTTTATTCTATATTTCTAACTAGGCGAAGGAGATCTTGCTCCAACAATCACAAGTCCTTCAGGAGAGAAAGTCGAACCAACCGTGAAGGACAATGGAGATGGTACATATGCCGTAGGGTACACGCCCACGGAAGAGGGACCCCACAAAGTTGATGTGAAATATGACGGAGACTCGATCCCGGGTACGCCCAAGGAAGTCAATGTCTTGCCAAAAACGGATACAGGAAAAGTGAAAGCTTACGGTCCAGGACTTGAGAGTGCTCTTACTGGACAAAAGGCGCAGTTTACAGTCGACACTCGTGAAGCAGGTATGGTAGAAGTAATGATACTTTTTTGTTTGCAATGACGTAATTTGGGGATTTCAGTTGACGGACAGGTGTAACAAACAGGCTATTTTAATGTATTGATCGAGTTTACAGACAGTTTAAAGCCGGTTTTCCACTTCAAGCGTACCGAAACGTATCAAAAACGCTTTTAAATTTCAAAATTTCGTTAATGTTGATTGGTTAGTACTTCCGTAGTACGCCAAAAAGTTGACTTGCGACGAACCTTTTATTTTGATACGCGAATACACTCGGAAGTACGTGGATTTATAAACCTCTTTTCAGTCTGCGCATGCTCATCATTACGTTTCGGTACGATACAGGCGAAGTGGAAAACCGGCTTAAGACTCGAGAGATGAATTACCGTTCAGTTTTTCTTGCTACAACCATTCTGATAGGAGAAAAGGTTGTTTGATTTGCCTGTCATTTGGATGAAAAATCACGTGATTGCAAACAAATAATTATTAAATGACATGGCGATGAAAACGGAGCGCTTGGCGGCTTCGGGTGGACACAAACGCCGTTACTTTTTGTACCGCTTGCAAACCAAGCATCTCAGCTCTCAAAACAATAAATTCGAATGCTTTTCGTGGAAATTTCTTTGCTCTATTTGAGATATTTTGGGTCTGCAACCGAGTTGTTACAAATATGTTCACAAGCTGCAACAAGTTGTGTTCGCACTGCTTGTTCCCAGTTGTTGTAACAAGTTTGGAAAAAGCTGTTAACAACTTGTAACAAGCTTGATGGCATTATCAGACTTGTTACAAGGTTGTTCTAACATGTCTGATACAGTCATGATATAACAAGAATGTTACAAGGTTGACGACACAAGGTTGTAACAATATTGTTATATCATGACCGTATCGATCTTGTTGGAACAACCTTGCAACAAGTCTGATAATATCAACAAGGTTGTTACAAGTTTTTAACAGTTTGTTCCAAACTTGTTGACAACTTGGGACAAGCAGTGCGAAGACAACTTGTTAGCAGACTTTCTACAAGATGTGAGACTATTGCGTATGTAGTGTTAACGTAGTCTAATACTTGTATCGTATAGGTCCCGGCGGTTTGAGCCTAGCGGTAGAAGGACCCTCGGAAGCAAAACTCGTATGCAAAGACAACAAGGATGGCACTTGCTCTGCTACGTACGTACCAGAGGAATCGGGAGAGTATGACGTTCACGTGAAATTTGCTGATGAGCACGTGCCCGGCAGTCCGTTCAAGGTGAAAGCTACGAGACCTGTGGACGCGAGCAAGGTGAAATGCTTTGGGCCCGGTGTCGATAAAGCACCGCTGTTCGAAAGCGCGCCGACGCACTTCACAGTGGACACGGCAGAAGCTGGTGACGCACCTCTGGATGTTGTGATAGAAACGCCTGACAGAAAGAAGATTAAACCTGATGAAGTTAAGAAGGTCGATGATAATACCTATGAAGTTCAGTACACACCACCCAAAGAAGGTGAGGGAATTAATTAAATTTCACATATAAAAACACATCCACAACGTAATTTACTTGATGCAGATTATGTTGGCTACACCAATCAACACTTACAGTATATCAGAGCATTGATGAACATAAGGGCTCGGTAATAGATATGCATATGCGTTAAAACCACGGGGTTGATGCATACCATATTGAAAGTTGTTTTTCAGTTTTTCGGCTACCTCCTTTTTGAAATTCACTACACAAAGAAACTTTGCCCATCTTTGAAGACACGATCGGACTCGATTCGTTCAAAACCATTTTCGTGACATTTAATTAGGACATTTGTTGCTGTTTTTTGTAACAAACCTACAGCAGACTTGTAGCAATGCTGTTCCAACAACTTGTCAACAGGATGTGTTCGCATTGCTTGTTCCCAGCTTGTTGACAAGTTGTCAACGGCTTGTTGACAACTCACCGCAAGGTTGTTGAACTCAACAGACTTGTCACAAGTTCTTCCAGCAACATTTATTTTATCGTCATGCAATTCAACAATTTGTCAACAAGTTGTTAGTCGTAACCTTGTAGCAACTTGACAAAATAACAGCATTGTTACAACTTGTTGACAAGCTTGCTAGAAACCTGTTGCGAACACATCTTGTTGACAAATTCCAAAAAAATGCTATAAAACCGTGGCTAGAATTTGACCGCTATCCTTTACAGCCACGGTAATAAAGTTCATACCTCTGGTTACACACATAAAATCTGTTCACAAGATGTCAACAACTTGTGTTCGCATTTCATGTTCCGAGTTGTTATAACACGTTAGGAAGAAGCTGTTAACAACTTGTAACAAGCTTGATGGTATTATCAGACTTGTAGCAAAGTTGTCCTAACAAAGTCTGATACAGTCATGATATAACCAGTATGTTACAAGGTTGTTCTAACAAGTCTGATACTGTCATGATATAACAAGTATGTTACAAGGTTGATGACACAAGGTTGTGGCAGTATTGTTATATCATGACTGTATCGGTCTGATAATATCAAGTCTGATAATATGATCAAGAAGGTTGTTACAAGTTGTTAACAGCTTGTTCCAAACTTATTGACAACTTGGGACAAGCAGTGTGAACACGACTTGTCGACGGCTGATTGTCAGACTTGCTACAAGATGTGAGATTTTTACGCCTGTACAGTACTGCATACCGCATTTTTATAATAATTCACGTTCTCGTTTTCCTCAGGTCGCTATGCAGTGGATGTGAAGTACGGTGGCAAGCCAGTGGCTGACAGTCCATTCAGAGTGCGCGCTGGTCCACCATACGACGCCAGCAAGGTGAAGGTCAGCGGTCCAGGTGTCGAGAAGACTGGCATAGTAGCAGAGGAGGTCACCAAGGCTTTGGTTGATACAACTGAGGCTGGTATTGCTGATCTATCAGGTTTGTTGAATATGATAACTTGATTATTCCTTCGAGGTTGTGTTCGCACTGCTTGTTCCCAGTTGTTGTAATCAGTGTGGATAATAACAATTTCGCTTCGGTCTGACAAATGTCCGATCAACTGTGCGGTTGCTCGGTCATTGGCTAATAATGATTGGCCAGCTTTTTAAAATTTACATTCAATTGACAAGCTATCAATTGCTATAAATTTGATAGCTCGTGCTGATCACTTCTCGCATCATCAATCACATATTCTGTATATTGTCTAGTACCATAAGCTTGTGATGTGATTTTGTTGCTTGTCACAGCAAAGCCGAGAAAATATTTCCTCTCGCTTTTATGCTTTATGAACAGTACTGTACTGTACTAGTCAAATAATATACCTTTCATTGAAGTGAAAACTGCCTATTTTATTTGCTCGGTCAAAATGTCGGTGCAAAATAAGATTAATCGGCCATTTAGTGTTTTTGTTCGGCAAATAGCCTATTGCCAACCGTTATAATCCACACTGGTTGTAAGTTTGTAACAAGCTGTTAACAACTTGTAACAAGCTTGATGGCATTATCAGACTTGTTTCTCAAGGTTGTTCTAACAAGTCTGATACAGTCATGATATAACAAGAATGTTACAAAGTTGACGACACAAGGTTGTAACAATGTTGTTATATCATGGCTGTATCGAACTTGTTGGAACAACGTTGCAACAAGTCTGATAATATCAACAAAGTTGTTACAAATTGTTAACAGCTTGTTCCAAACTTGTTGAAAACTTGGGACAAGCAATGCGAACACAAGTTGTTGACGGCTTGTTGGCAGACTTGCTACAAAATGTGAGATTTTTGCGTGTGTGCGACAAGTCTGTTTGTTCTATATAGTACGTATTAAACAAAAGCGTTTCTATTAATTAATTTTAGATATATTATACTTTCTTTTTTCACGTAGCCATTTTGGAGACTCCTTCGGGCAAGAAAGTTGAACCGACCATCACTCCAGTGCCAGACGAGCCTGGCAAGTACGAGATCGCGTACGTACCCGAGGAGACTGGTAACCACAAGCTGAACGTGAAGTATGGCAAAGATCAGGTGAAAGATAGTCCATTCCGTGTTAAGGTGGCTCCGGGTGGTGATGCTAGCAAGGTCAAGGTGAGCGGAGAGGGAATCGAGAAACCACGTGTTGGACAGTTGGTGGATATCATCTTCGATACAACTGAAGCTGGCAACGGTACGTTGGATCACTTGGATGTTTTTCGTAGATGGGTTTCTTGCCGTACCACATATAGACTTGCTCCAAGTCTCTCTTTCATTGTCATATAGTATCGATTCACTATAGTGTACATTACATGACGTAGCACGGAGAGGCGGAGCGAGAAAGAGAGACTTGTCAACTTCGGAAAATCTCGGTTCAAAACTTGCTTTAATTGTTTTCCTTCAATTTCTTTCTGTATTATTTACTATAATGGAACTCGTGTTATCTACACTGTGCTAGATCAATACATATAAACACTCACAGAAAGCAATTAAAGCAAATCTTGCATTTTCGGTTCAGTTTTGAACCGAGATTTTCCGAAGTTGACAAGTCTCTCTTTCTCTCTCCGCCCCTCCGTACTACGTCATGTAATGTACACCATAGTGGATCGATACGATATGAGTCATATGACAATGAAAGAGAGACTTGGAGCAAATCTATACCACATATCGACTATGGGCTGTATAAACTTGTGCCAAATAAACAGCGCTATTGGCACAAGGATACACGTTATTCACACCATAGTTCTGACTTAAAAATATATCTAGAATAAACCACTTTAGTATTTTTGCACAAGTGAACATAACAAATCCTACAAGTTGATTGGTCAAATTTGACGTATTAAGCTGTTTTATTATATGGCTTTTCAAAATTCTCTATTCTGATTGGTTGACAAGCGGTCCGTAAAAACCCATATCCGGACCGTGGTCCGTATTTTCCGTATCTGGACCGGTGTCCCGGATGTCGTTTATCTGGCGGGAAATTTTTGCTTTGCAAACAGAAAAAATTTTTGCTTTTTAATTTTCCAATTGTGTGTCATTAAAATTAATAGATAAAAATTTCAAACAACCAAATTGTTTTTGATTGAGCATGCATGCCTACCGTATGTTGTTACCAAATGAAACTGACGATAGCCGATTTAATTCGCGCAAAAAGCATATGCTCACAGACTCAGTTCAGCCATATAATAAACCGATTATTGACCTCGCTTGTTCGGTCTGTACTGTGAAATGTCAGACCTGTTTTTTGCATGGACCTCGCTCCTTTGTCGCTCGGTCCATACTAAAAAACCTCGGTCTGATATTTCACAGTACAGACCTCACGCTCGGTCAATAAGCCGTTATTATTCACCAACAGGTGAATATAACAAAACCAAAATTTACAAAATGGCGGCTATCCGTTTTGTGGAAGTTACTGATAAAGAAATAAGCGAAATTATTAATTAAAATAAAAGGCCGAGTTGTCGAATTGTTTTAGTTTCGATAAATATTTAATCGGCATGGTTTTTAACCAATCAGAATCGAGTAAATTGACTAAAATGTTATTAATATATAAATACCCTCTCAAAATATATTTTATTATTATGTAACGGTCAATAAGCAATTAGCCTCAAACCAGTATGATTTATTTTCCAGGCAAACCACGTTGTTCCATCAAATCCCCGTCCGGAAAAGATGTTCCTGTGAACATGATAGACAATGGCGATGGTACTTACACATGCCAATGGACTCCAACGGAAGAAGGTGTACATAACGTCGACGTCACGTACGGCGGCGAGCCCGTCCGAGGATCACCATTTAAGGTCAAAGCCGTGAAGCCACCGGAAATTGAAAAAATCAAGTCGAATGTAATGGAAGAAGTAGAATCACTTAACCCATGTGTGGACCAACCACTCGAGTTCGGAGTCGATCCCAGGGACGCGGAGCCCGAAGGGGGTAAGGGAAAGCTTGCGTCATCAATTGTGACGCCATCAGGGAAGACAGAGTACCCGGATGTCCGGGCGAACCCCGACGATACCTATGCAGTGACGTATACACCCAAAGAACCCGGTATCTACTCCCTCAGTATCATGTACGACGAAGAAGCAATTCCTGGCAGCCCATTCCAATTTGAAGTTGTTGAAGGCGGACCGGAGAGAGTTGTTGCTTTTGGAAAAGGTTTGTTTTTCAAATTTCAGAGAAGCGCACAATGAAGCCGTGCAGGGCTCGAAATAGCGGGCTGCCAATGGCCAAAAGCTGGCCATATTTTAGAAATGGCTGGCTAAAACAAATTTGAATTGCCAAGTCAAAAAAAAATGGCAGGTGAAATTCTATAGATATATTTCATTTCATTTACTCACCACAACTCATACATACTAGATCATTTAGTTGACTAAATATATTTGAAAAGTAAATCCAAGTTTACTGTAGTAAAGTGGACAAGTTTGAAAATAATAAAAATGCATATCATGAAAACATTGATTTTTACAATAAGACTCATATGAGACATCGCCATTTTGGCAGTTCAATGAATAAAATGGCAGGCTAAAATTTATTTCACCTGCCAAAAAATTTTAGACTGGCCGGCTATACTTTTTTCTACTTCGAGCCCTGATATTAGCGGTGAGTTTAGGGGGCATAAAATAGACAATGCTTGTATGCATTTGCCCGATATTAAGGCCTGATTCCTCGGGCGCTTTTTCTCGGCGAAATGCGAAATATTTCGCCTGTTTCTTTTGAATTGTGGGCAATCAAGTAGAAATAATTTATTCTAGTGGTCGCAATTGAAAAGAAACAGGCGAAATATTTCGCATTTCGCCGAGAAAAAGCGCCCGTGGAATCAGGCCTTTAGGCAGCTTTCATACTCCAAAAATCTAGATACAGCTATTTCAATTAAACCTAGTTCACACAAGCAATTTTGTTGGCGATGTTGTGTTTCTGACGGATGCAAATGAGTGAACTTATTGCTAGTATGAACCAAGCATTAAGGTTATCACAGTCGAGTGGTGTGTACTCCATAAAAATAATAGACATAGAATGCGTACTCCTATCTTTTCTCAGTAAAAATTTTGTAAATTATCTATTAACTCTCGGTGTACTCCAATCGCGAACAGCAAGATGACTATAAAAATTTAATACTTTTAGCTGTTTAGGTTGGCAATTGCCAGTAATATATGCATGATTTATAATGCATTGTCTTTCCATTATGCCTTTGTCTCTTGGAATGTACATTTGACTATTGATCGTGACAAGCTTAATTAGAATAGCCGTATATAATATATGACCGCTCTGTTTCGTAGGGGGTTAACGTATGAGGATGACCGTCCTCTGTTTCACGTGTTTTATGTTAATTTCCAGGTCTTGAACGTGGCATTGTTGAAGAGCCATGCGAGTTTACCGTCATCACAAAGGATGCTGGACCGGGTGGTCTGTCTCTGGCTGTCGAGGGACCAAGCAAGGCTGAGATACAATGTGTGGATAATGGTGATGGTTCCTGCTCTGTCTCCTATGTACCTAAAGAACCTGGTAAGTCCCTTTTCTAATGAACCTTTGGAGAGAACAGTTTAGAACTGATAGAGCTATCCAGTATAAATAAAGTTAGTTTAATTTAGGTTTCCTCCTGTAGTAACACTGGATCAATAAGAGATGATCCTTAATGGACTTCTAGGAAGAACAGTTTGTAACTGATAGAGCTATCCAGTATAATAAAGTTAGTTTGGTTTTAGTTTTATTTATAATTTCATTCCCTCTCTTTTTCAGGTGAATACAATGTTGTAGTGAAGTTCGCAGACAAAGACATCCCAGGAAGTCCGTTCGCAGCCGAGATCTTCCCGAAGGGCACCGATCTAGGCGACGTGAAACGAGAACGCCCGGTCGTAGGCAAACCATGTGATGTCAAACTCGATATCCCGGATGTTGATGTTGAACGTGACTTTGATGACCTCACGGGCACACTGAGGAGGCCTGGAAGCAACAAGGAAGAACCAGTTGAGTTGAGCAAGAATCCTGATGGAACCGTCGGTGTCACGTTTACCCCCTACGAACCAGGTGTGTACCTGTTTGTCCATACTTACACAGTATAATTGCACTTTACGTATCACGAAGAACTCACTGTTGAGTTTTAACTTAACTTTGAGCTTAAAAGCATGGTTAGATCATACAGAGGTAGTACATAATCTTGAATGTGGGCTGCCTTAAAGTGATCTGATGTTGTACAGAACTCACTGCTGAGTTAAACATGGTTAAAAACCTGCAGCAGACTTGTAACAATGTTATTCCAACAGCTTGTCAACAGGATGTATTCGCACTGCTTATTCCCAGCTTGTTGACAAGTTGTCAACAACTCGCTACGAGGTTATTGAGCTCACAGACTTGTTACAAGTTGTTCCAACAACTTGTTATCGTCCTGCAATTCAACAATTTGTCAATAAGTTGTGACTGACAACCTTGTAGCAACTTGATAAAATAACAACATTGTTACAACTTGTTGACAAGCTTGCTGCAAGCCTTTTGCGAACACTTCTTATTGACAAGTTGTGAGATTTTTACAGAACAAGGTCTATTCTCGTAAATATTCTTGTAAATTCTTATGTCCATTCCAATTCTATTTCCAGGTGAACATTTAATCAGCATCAAGAAAAGAGGCAAACATGTTCAAAACAGTCCATTCAGCGTTATGGTCCAGGCCCCACGTCTTGGCGACCTGTTCTCGTCTGGCCACCCTGCTGAAGTAGACCTCAGCAACGTCAAAGGCTTGAACCCGGAGGACTTCGACAAACTCACGGCGACGCTACGCCGACCAAAAAGCAAAGTTGACGAGAGTGTTCGACTTATTAAATACCCTGATGATGCTATAGGCGTTTCATTCGTGCCCCGTGAACCAGGAGAACATTTCCTGACAGTAAAGAAGGATGGTCATCCCATTCCCGGCAGTCCTTTCTCGATCTTAGTTGAATCTGAAGAACCAATAAATGCCGTCAGCGCTCCAGTAGATGCTGTCCTTGACCTGCCCGGCCTGAACATGCCCGATGATTTCAGGAAACTCAAAGGTATTTCCAGCTCTCACCTTGTACTTTGATTCAGCCAGTGTTATAAGTTGCACCCGTATGACATCTCAGTGAATATATTGCAGTCGAAAAATCGTCTCGTGTTACACACGTAAAAACGCACAAGTTGTTACAAATCTGTTCACAAGCTGTCGACGAGTTGTGTTCGCACTGCTTGTACACAAGGTTGTAACAATATTGTTATATCATGACTGTATCAGACTTGTTGGAACAACCTTGCTACAAGTAATATTAACGAGATTGTTATATAATACAAGCTGTTAACGACTTGTAACAAGCTTGATGCCATTATCAGACTTGCTACAAGTTTATTCTAACAAGTCTGATACAGTCGTGATATAACAAGAGTATTACAATTTTGACGACACAAGGTTGTCACAATATTGTTATATCATGATTGTATGGAACTTGTTGGGACAACCTTCCTACAAGTCTAATAATATCAACAAACTTGTTACAAGCTGTTAGCAACTTGTTCCATACTCGTTGACAACTTGGGACAAGCAGTGCGAACACAAGCTGTTGACGGCTTCATGGCAGACTTGCTACAAGATGTGAGATTTTTACGCGTGTAGGTATTAACTCTGTTCATAATTTCATTCCTAACGTGTCATGTTCTTGTTAATTCCAGGTACCCTCAAACGTCCTTCCTCAAACGAAGAAGAACCCTTACAGCTCGTGCTCAACTCAGATAATTCCCTATCAGTGTCATTCATCCCTCACGAAACTGGCAAACATTTAGTTGGTGTGAAGAAATTCAACCGTCATGTCAACGGCAGTCCAATCCCTGTGATGGTGACATCCCCCGAACCTGTGAACCGTTCTGGAGTGCCCTGTGGAGTGGGACTCGAGGACATCCCCGTTGAAGACCTACCCAAGCTTGAAGCCGGACTCCAACGTCCCGGATCCAATGTCGAAGAACCAATAAGAATTAAGCAAAACTCCGACAATACGCTATCCGCGTCCTTCGTACCTCATGAGGAAGGCCCACACAAGCTTCATGTACGCAAAGACAAGAAGCCATTGCCACAGAGTCCGTACATTGTGGATGTTCTGGGAAAAGACAAGGTCGAAGAGGTTCATCCCGTTGGACGAACTTGCGATGTCGGATTGGATATTCCTGGCTTGGTTCTTCCCGAAGATTTTGATAAACTTGAAGCGACGATCCAGAGGCCGAACAGCGACAAAGAGGAACCATTGAATCTTGAATTATATTCCGATAACACTCTTGGTAAGTCAAAATTGTTACTTGCACACGTAAAAACGCACAAGTTTTTACAGGCCTGCAAACAAGTTGTTACAAATCTGTTCACAAGCTGTCGACAAGGGCATGTAGTAAAACACTGACTACCGGAACACCACCGGAACACCACCATTTTGTTTGGGGTTAGGGTTTGGGGTTAGGGTTGGGGGTTAGGGTTGGGGTTAGGGTTAGGGTTAGGGTTGGGGTTAGGGTTAGGGTTAGGTGGTGTTCCGGTGGTGTTCCGGTAGTCAGTGTTTTACTACATGCCGTCGACAAGTTGTGTTCGCACTGCTTGTTCCCAGTTGTTGTAACAAGTTTGGAACAAGCTGCTAACAACTTGTAACAAGCTTGATGGCATTATCATACTTGTTACAAGGTTGTTCTAACAAATCTGATACAGTCATGATATAACAAGAATGTTATAAGGTTTACGACACAAGGTTGTAACAATATTGTTATATCATGACCGTGTCGGACTTGTTGGAATAACCTTGCAACAAGTCTGATAATATCAACGAGCAGGGGTTTTTTCAGGGATTTTTAGGGCCGTTAAACGGCCCCCAAAACTCAATCTTGAATTGAGTTTTGAAACTCAATCTTCTCACCAAAGTTTCAGTGCAGTAAAAATGAAGTTGTTTGAGTTAAATTCGTGACGTGTGGAAATTAATTTTCAGTTGGAAACCCGACAATTAAGAAAAAATGGCTGGAATTTATCTCACAACACAAGAAAAACTATGCATTCGCCATCTTTAACCAGTTTATATTGTCCCTTAGGCCCCGTTTACATGAGACCGGGACGAAGTCAAACCGGAATGAAAATTGAAATTGTCAACATGTTTACATGAGACCGGTACGAGGATCACAAAATCTTCAATTTATTCCCCTTGCCAGGCAATTTTCTTTTTCAGGTGGCTTTTGCTAGCATGTGTTGTTCCAATGTCAAGATTACAGCCGAGATCGGTCTGAAATGTATTTGTGTTTACATTCATCCCGGTCTGAATTCATGCCGGTCTGAAGTCAGTCGGTTCGGTTTAGAAGGCGGAATGACTTGAGACCGGTCTGAGTTATTTTCGTCCCGGTCTCATGTAAACATCTATTATAGATAATACTATGACCGAAACGAGATGGTCCCGGTTTGACTTCGTTCCGGTCTCATGTAAACGGGGCCTTAGTGCCCCTGCTTTAACACATTCCGTCTCAACTACATTTATTGAGTACAGGTGTCAGCCCCCTGGTAGGGGGGTAGGGGGTGGGGGGGGGTGCAGCCACCCCAGCTGTTCAGCTAAACTCAATCTTCTCTGCAAAAACGGACCCAAGAGAAAATCCGGAAAAAACCCTGACGAGGTTGTTACAATTGTCATAAGTTGTTCCATACTTGTTGACAAATTGGGACAAGCAGTGCGAACACAAATTATTAACAGCTCGTTGGCAGACTTGCTACAAGATGCGAGATTTTCTGAATCCTACCAAAATTTGTTTCTTAAATAATTTGTAACTTTTCAGGCATTTCCTTCGTCCCGTTGGAACCAGGCGAGCATCTGCTCCGTGTGAAGAAATCTGGGGAGGACGTTCCCGGCAGTCCTTTCGCCGTGATGGTGGAAGCCGCTGAAGCACCGAACGCGGTCGGCCGACCATGTGACCTCCAGCTTGACATCCCCGAACTAAACCTGCCCGACGACCTACCGAAATTGAAGTCCACATTACGACGACCTGGTTCAGATGTAGAGGAGCCAATCAAATTGAAAGTTTTGTCTGATAACACCCTCAGCGCTTCGTTCGTTCCCAAATCTCCTGGTGAACACTTGATCACGGTCAAGAAGAACAACCGTCACGTGACCGGAAGTCCATTCCCTGTCATGGTAACCGCTGCCGAGCCTGCAAACAGGTACATATAAAAATAACTGATCTCAGAATTTGAAGTGGATAGCACGATAGCATTTATGCATGACGACCCAGGGCTTCTGCGTCCTGGGCACGAATTTGATGGCAAATATGTTATAAGAGGAGAATCTTTTGGATGTTACGTGACGCGAGCTCAACACTATAAAAATACACTTTTCCGGCCACTTGGTTATGAGTATATTCAATTTTTTAAATTTTCGATACGTTTCCCAAGCGGCAAACAAACTTAAAAAGTATGTTTAGTGTTTTATAATAATATATATAAAGATTTATATAATATATAAAGATTTATACAGCGCTTAAATTATATAAAATATTCCAAAGCGCTTTACAACAATGAGGTTATACTATATACAAGTAGCTAAAATATTAAGAATTAAGGTATAGGTGTCTATAAATCTAAAAGTTAGAATCGAAAGCTTTCTTAAAAAGGAAAGTCTTTAATTGAGATTTAAAACAATCAATTGTTTTACTATTTCTAATACCAGAAGGTAGCATTTATCTGTAAAATAATACTAAAATGAAGAGATTTTAGATGGCACGCCAAAGAGAAAATGATGTCTGAAGTTCAGTAAGTTTTGCTTATATTGCTGTATAAATTTGGCGTCCGTTTTACAGCATCAATGATAATTACATTTAAATTGACGATATGTTTTTAATTATTATTTTGTGTTTCTCAACCGCCAGATACATTTAAGGTTACAGAACACCTTTGAGTGTTAATTTTGCCTAAAATTTTTCTATTGGTTCCATGAAAGCATTAGACTAGTTCTACTATGTGACAATGTTTGGACGAAAAATGTTGAAAACTCGCAGAGTTATTTAATAAAATACATTTCGCGTGCAATAAGAAAAACATTGAAAATGTAATATTCAAATTCAATTTTCTCGCGAAGAATTTTACGGCAATTACTGATTTTTAAACGAGTTGTGCTCCTGCGGGTTTTAATTCTTACATTATTTTATTGTTTGTCAATTTTACAACTTTATCATATTTTGCATGCACTGGCTAACATTTGGTGAAAATTTGATGAAAATCGGACTGATTTTGAGCGCGCAGTAGCGATTTTCCACAAAACGCCAAAAAGGGTGTCCTGTAACCTTAAAAAGGTTGCTAACTGTGTAAGCTACAAAATAAAGCTAAAACAAAGTAATTTTGAGAGGAACGCCAAAAAGATTTCAGGTTTTGAAAACTTTTCATTGCAAATACACGACATAGAAAAATGCCTCATAACAATTCACTTTTATAATTCTCAACAGAGTTGGCCAGCCTGTCGGTGTTGGACTTGAAGAAATCCCCGTCGAAGATCTACCCCGACTCGAGGCAGGAATACAGAGACCTGGATCCGAAGTTGAAGAGCCAGTCAGAATCAAGCAAAATTCCGACGACACCTTGTCAGCGCAGTTTATTCCCCACGAGGAAGGAGTTCATAAACTTCATGTAAGAAAGGACCATAAGCCTCTGCCAGAGAGTCCGTATTTGATCAATGTTCTTGGAAAAGATGTTGTGGAAGAGGTAATGTTTTAGTAGGGTTGTTGAGAGGAATGGGTGACAGATGTGGTTGGAGTGCTGTCTCCTACTGCTGATTCAAGCTCTGCTACTGTAGGTCGAGGGTAGGGTATTACTTTAGGAAAGCAAGGATGACAAATGTGGTTAGAGCGCTGTCTCTTACTACTGAGTTAAGCCTGCTGGTTAAGCTTACTAGTTCCTTCGATATAGCATTCCAGATGATCTTGATGCGCGGAAAAGTACTGGCACTAGTTGTCAAATAGAAATCCATTTTGTGATTAAAACAACTGAATATCTCCTGTGATATAGTTTATTTCGATTCCATATTTTTGTCAGAGCTATAGTTCTCATAACCAAACATAAATACAAAATTTCAACTAGTTTCATAAAGAATAACGAAAGATATAATTGACTGAATACATCAAAATGGATTTCTATTCGGACAACCCTTTCTGAGCGCTGATTGGCTAAAATACGAACACGAGATCACCTGGTTGGACTAGTATCCCAAAGGTCGTGGGTTCGATTCCCACCGTAGTCAGGCAAACTTTTCAGCTTGCCCGGTGTGGATGCACACTCAGAGTAACACCACAGACATATTACATATACCATCGACTGCTGCTTTGGACACACCAATACAACCATCCTAACTGTTACACAACCGTTGTAGGTGCACCCAGTTGGAAGAACATGTGACGTAGGTCTGGATATACCTGGTGTGGTATTACCAGATGATTTCAAGAAACTGTCAGGAACATTGCAGAGACCACGAAGCAAGAAAGAAGAACCTGTGAGTCTGGAACTGAACCCCGACAACACCTTAGGTATGTTGTGGAATATTTTGTGTGATTGTTCCGAAAAGATTTTGCCGTCATTTCCAAATTTTAAATTTATTGAAACTTTGTCCATACCACTTCGTACACACGTAAAACTTCTCATCTTGTCAACAAGATATGTCTGTAACAAACTCGACGAAAAATGTTATCAAGTTGCTACAAGATTGTTGCTCACAACTTGTTGTCAGGGGTGATAAAAAATTGTTGCAACAACTTTGTAACACTTGTGTTATGAGCCTTGAAACAAGTCTGCCGAAACCTGGTAACTACCTGTTAACATGCTGGGATGAATAAGAACACAGCTTGATATCAGCTTGTTCAAAAAGGTTGCAGGCTCGTTTTACGTGTGTACTGTGGAAGGTTTGGGGAAAACCAACGGTCCCAAAATTCTAATAATTTACCAACGTTGATTAACTAACAATGATGATTTACTAACATAAAAACATTGATTTACTAAAACCATTGATTTACTAACAAAAACATTGATTCACTAACAAAAACATTGATTCACTAACAAAAACATTGATTTACTAACAAAAACATTGATTTACTAAAAAATATTGATTTACTAACAAAAACATTGATCACTAACAAAACAACAGCAACAATTCATTATTTTGTCATGAAACTAACATTGCTTACAAAAACATTTTACATAACACAACAAATGCTCATTTATACATATTTTGTCACATGCGCGCTCACTTTTACACAATTATTTGTAGTACACTTGTTCAAGCGTTCTCATTTCGATACATGCATTCTTATTTTCTATCGTGTTGTAAGCAATCTCAAACGTGCGTGCATATTTGCAAACGTGCGTACCTATTTTCAAACGTTCGTACATATTTTCAAACGTTCGGACATATTTTCAAACGTTCGTACATATTTTCAAACGTTCGTACATATTTTCAAACGTCCGTACATTCGAATGAACGTGCGCGCTTATTTCACAAGTTCACATCGCGCGCAAAGCGTTGCAAACCACATTGTAGAAACCAATTCGAATTCGCGCAGATTCACTCAAATCGAAGATTCACAACATTAGTTACTGATTATTCTTGCATATTCTTTACTAATAATACAGTTTGCAGATCATATACGCAGCCATTTCAAAGTGCTACTAAATTTACCGTAACACGCGATCTCGTCTAATTAATCAAGCTTACATGTTGATTTTTAAAAGGTAATGTGTTCTAATGGAGATCTGCTAATTATTGTCAATGATCTCAAT